AACGTTGTACTGCTAACCACCTGACGCGTTCCAAATTAAATAGAGAAAAACTCACGGAAAGTTTAACTCGCGGCCGCTTCGTAAAAAATAAAGCTTATTAACGCAGGAATTCCCTTCTTCGCTCGCCCGCGGGATAGTTAGAAAAACAGTTGACAACGCGAAATTTCTTGAACGGCTCTTCAAAACTATCTTCAGCCTATCCGTTTAATAATTTTACTTGCAAACTTTAGGATGAAACTTTGCGTAGAACGTGTAAACTGTTGAGTGGCAACTCGCGTTCAACTCTTTCTTTTTTTAACGATATTTCTCGACTACAAAGTTGTTTTTATGAAATTTTTATATTAAGCTTCAATCTCATTCTTGTGTATGTGTGTGTGTGTGTGCGTGTGTGATGCCAATAATTTTGTATAAAAATTACAATCTACAAGTAGACTTGATTTGGCTGTCGCGATTTCGCTGAAATTAGGTGATATTTGTTAGGTCGCGCGAAATAAATATGCGGATGGAAATACAGTACTAAGTTAAATATTTCAATCATAGATAATAATAACAAAAGTGACACACTTGACGCTAGTAACAATAAGAAGAATCGCTAAAATAAACGACGGCCGTGTTACAACAACGTTTGCCAACAAACTGCGTCGGTGCAATTTACGGATGTAATATGCTATGCTATTTACACCATAAACTGCACACCATAAACATGATAAATAATATCAAAATAATGCACGCTTTGGGTAGCGTGTATAAATAACACGCGCGGTCAATTTCCGCGGACCAGCAGCGTGAAGGCTGCATGTAACAGCAACGTTACAGCATCAGCTCCCTTCGCAACCTGTCGTTTCGCGTAACGCGCGGGCGTTAACGTAACTCCCGCCACGCCGGGAAATTCAATTACGAGATAAAACTCGAGGAACGATTTATCGCGCGATGGCCGCCGCGGATTATTCGTAAAATAAACTCGTAAACGTACTGAGCGACGACAAGCGCGCGAGCGACAATCGCGGACGCGTAAAATCGCGCATACATCAGCGGAACGCGACCGGACCACTTTGACGCTACAATTATAATGAATCAGTTTGCAAATGGACGGAGTGATAGAAACGCGACCGATAATCGATAGGTTTGCCGTTCGAAACGGCCGAACGATGGCCGATATCGCCGCGTGGCGGCGAAAACGGAGGGGTCCGTATTTCAATTGGCCGCGTGTTGTCCGTGTGTGGGCCATACCAATTGCCAATTCCGCACACGCATACGTCGGCACACGCGTGTGCCTACTAATTTGTTTAATTGGTAATGCAAGCGCACACTGCACTGAGAGATCGCGTTTCGTATTTTGTTACGAAAAAAAAAAGTTTCGCGGATGATATCTCAGTCAGATAGCCGATATGGGTGATTCGAGAGACTCCGCGACAAAATTCGTATCTTCAGGAAAGTTTGATAGGCAGCTTTTCCCCCCGTTATTTATGCGCGATTATGTTAAATCAGATAATCTTCTTTCTTGACCAAAATCAGTGTCAGAATTATGCAGAAAATGATTTATGTTCGCGAATGCGCGCGCGAAAAGTCACTCGCAAAAGTTACGATTCGCCGATCGACTGCGTATTTTTTTTTTTTTTTTTTTTTTCATCACTTCTCGAGACGTACTTTTTTGCAGCAAGCTTGTTGGTCGTGCGTGGATTTATGAGCGCAGCATTGCGAGCGCATCGTTGTGTGAGAGTTTTCTCGAGATATTCAAGACGTAAGCTCCTCCAGGTTTATAGAGATTAGGTTACATATATATACATATGTGTGTGGGTGTATGTATATATATATATATAAGAATTGGATAGAAAAAAAATCTTATATTTATGTTTGTTTTAACAAAATAATAAATAAAAATTTGTATCACAAATCACTTTGATCAAACTTGTTTAGTGCATGTGTGATTTATGTTATTATTATTGTATCTTATTTTTCTTAGAAATTATTTGATTGGTTATCAAATAAAGACGATGTATATATATCAAAAAAGTCAAATAAAACTAAATAAATACGGCAAAAAAGATTATACAAAATAATATATTACATCTACGCTCAATTTCAAAGCAAAAATCGGACCAATAAATTGCGTGTGCATATTCATATCTCTGAATTAAATGAATCCGTTTTCATTATCGTAGCAGTGGAATCGGAAAAATTCATATGGATGCCGGTTTAATATATTTTTTTAATTTTTGAAGTGCAATTATAACTCGGTGATACGGCAATTTTTCGAACAATAATGTGGTTTTCTTCTTATTAAAGTTATAGGGTTTGATGTTAAACATAAGTTCTGATGTTTTTTTTTTTTTTTTTAGACAATAATCAGCATAGAATTCATAAATACACGCTATGACGTCGCATGATGCATATGTTCGCGTTTTAATTATTATAATTCTGCGAATGCGCAAATAAAAGCACGGGATTACGAAACATTCTCGTCATGTTGACGAAGCGCTTTGATTGTAGGAACTGTTCCAATCAGGAATATGAATTATTAATTTGTTCTTTCTCTCTCTCTCTCTCTCTTCGTGAGCGTAAGCAGTTATCAATTGTTTATTATCAACTGTTTGCTAAAATAAAAATTACTCGTATATCTCCTTCAAACGCAATTTATAGAAATAAGCACATGCAAGCGGACTCTTCTGTGTGTAGAGAAGTTTACTTTATTGGCTCATCATATATTTATGTCAAAAGAAACAAAAAGCAAACGGCTTATGTGCGGTGATTTGAAAGCTGTTTAAATTTCTCTTCGATTTCTTTCCCAATAAGAAGCCTATAGATTCGAACGTACGGGATCGATATCGTCAAGGCAAGATTCTTCCCCGGAACGATGTTCTGAAATAGAGCTCATCGGAAGTGAGCCTTCTGTAGAGTCTTCTTCTTTGTGCCAGCCAATGTACGACATTCACATCGCGGGGCGTCCGATCACGAGCGATTTGTCGAGGGTGCGAGCAGCGGGAGGAATAATCAGCGTGATGTCAGCAGTAATTAGTAGCTCGCGCGGTGCTGCGGAAATTGCTGCAGGCGGCCGACTCCCGGGGCTGTGCACAAACACCCCGAAATATCTACATATACAGTCATTATCGCGGCCGTTTCGCCTCTCGTAGAATTACGACGGTATGCAAAGTTGCACGGATGCGATTTCGATACGTCACGCAAGCCCGATTTGAACGTTTCATACATTTCATATTTCAATTTACGTTATGTAATATATATACGTGATTTCTCTCGAGCGCCTCTTATCGTTGCGCGATTAATTTTTCTCTCTTTTAGTCACGTCTCTTTTTTCCATTTTCCGCACTTGTCTCTCTCTCTCTCTCTCTCTCCATTGGCGTACACACTCGCGCGCCATTGTTAGCGCGAGAAACGTGTTTCCTTTTTATCTTTCCCGAACCGCGTACGCTACTTCTTCGACCGGATTACATTTTTCTTTGAAACACTCTCGATAAAACTATGTTCCACTATGATCACCGGGTGAGTTGCACAAAATGCGGTTTAGCGACGTATCCCTAGTCTTTGCTCGTCCCAACGCGATAAGATGAAATTAAAGAATTCTTTTTCCTTATCAGAAAGACATTATTACGTTTAAACACACAGAAATCTGTGTTAAATATCACGATCGTGCGCTAAACTCCAAAAGCATATAAATTTAAAATAACTCAAATAGCTCACAGCGTGCAAGAGAGTTGTTCTTTATGCGTAAAATTATATCTCCAAGAAAATTATTCCTTGAGGGTATAAAGTAAATCGCGAAAAAAATAAAAGAAAACTAAACAAACAACAAAAATGTTCAAACTACGTTAATAACATATTGCTACAAAAAAAAAAAGAAAAAGTTCTTTTTTATCGCATTTGTACACTCTCGTTTAATAATAGCGTCGTTAATATAAAACTTTCAGCCTGTCACTGCTCTGTTGGGTCCGTTAATATTCAATATATGATTTAATCCCGTGACCTGGATTTTCGATTGCGCTGGCGATCGACCTTGCTACATCGACTAGGGTAATCCTTGTGATTAGCGGCAATTGAAATCTCCTCGTACTTGAAAGAGCGTCAGAAGTTATTACTTACTCAAGTTCCTGTTACGCGCAGTTTATTTTCATTATCGAACGCGCAATACCCGAGACGCTATCTCGTCTCGTAAGTAATCACACACTTCGCACGTGAACTTCTGCCGCAGCTTCCCAATATCGACGATCGATAGTAAGTAATAAGATATTTCGTAATAATGATTTTCGCTCTATGTGCATATTGTGTCGTGTTCCATTACTGCGGCAGACAATTTACGGCGCAATTTTTAAGTAATTGCGCCAAGTGTATATCAGTCGGTTTTCTGGACTATCATGTTATATGCACGCGTTACAATTTGTGTATTTTCAATAATTATTAAATTAGCTCAGTTGTATCTGTCCGATGATCAAGTGTTTTATCGGCTTGAGCGCTTGTCATTTTTATCGCAAATTATAAAATCAATTGTTTGTACAACAAATGTTGCTATTTGTTAAGTAACGATATTTACGTTTCAACTCATAATATTATACTATTTTTGTAAAATATATTAATTTTTTTATACATAAAATATCCATATGAAAATGGTAGTAAACCTTTACTTATTTTTTTTTTTTTATATAATTTTGTTTTGATGAAAAATATTTTGTGGGGAAAAACTCACAAGAAAAATAATTTATCACATTTTTATAACTTTAACAATATATTTCCCAAACGCCGTTGGGTTTATGTATGTGTAATGAATTCATTGAACAAGTGTGGTAAAATATTGAAACGCTTGCAACGATTTAATAATTACAACTTGCGGGTAGCTTATATTTACTTTTTTTCCCTTCCTCGCCCAATTCAATGAGACTCTCGCAAATAAACGCGAGCGCTTTTGATTAAAATATTACTGATTTCCAATAAACGCGTTATACAAGAGAAACAATGAAAAATATTTTTGGTTACTATAAAGCAAACGCCAATTATTTATAGAAAAACTTTATTAACTTGGCAATTTCTTATATTTGCACTATTCATATAACCTGTTACGTGTTTTATCGATAATTTCATGTTTTTATGTAGGAAAAGAGCAGATTGTTTAAAGAGCAGATTGGAAAAATAACAGTTATTATTTCGTCAAGCGCGTGTACTCTTTATTGAAGGGGATAAATTCTATATTTACAAAATATATGACATACAACATCTGTTACTTGTTTCTGCGTATAAATGTCAGACGCGACCGCCCATCATTGCCTTTGGTATACAAAGTGAAAACGTTGAGGATTCAGGAAAAAAAAAAAAGTTTAATTACATCCATTAGGAATCTAATTATAACAGGTACAAAAGCAAATCAGTCATAGTTGTGGCGCGCTCGCGAGGTTTTTTAATATCCCGCATGAGCGGACAGCGCGGCGGCGGCGTATTCGTGAAGATGACCGTCCGCTTCGTGTCCTTGACCGCCGTAGACCCCGCCTGAATGATCATTCTTCCCGGAGGTGTGAACCACCGCGTGAAATCCTTCCTTGTCCGCGTGATAACTCACGACACGGAGACTACCTCCGGGATCCTTCACGCTATATTCGCCAGACACGCTGCTCCCTACAGAAGAATCACACGATCAACAACAAAAATAATAAGCAAACAACGAACGCGTCTCTTAATTAAAATACTGACATCGCGGTAAAAATATTCGCGCGACGGAAGAGAGTACATTAAGATCGTTTTTTTCTTCATTTGAACTTTTGACGCATGTGCAAAAAGATTCTCGGAAAGTTCTCGTTTTTTTACTTTCAATATAGCGCGTACAAGCCACTCTAAACACACTTCAATATTTTCGCTCTAAGAAAAACTCGACTCCCCAACTTTGGTCAAGGAATATCGCGCGAAGTTTGCTCAATTTTGGTAAGTTTGTACCTGTGCGCGCGGCACTTTTGTACAACCGCGCGACATCACACCGATGCGTCGTTGACGACGGTTTACAATTCTTTGAGTCAACTTCGCGATTCAAGTAAGAAAACGTAGTTCCGAACTAAACCGCCGACGCACACACACACACACACACACACACGCATCGTTACACATTCGCGGATACATACAGACTCGCAGGTTACTCTCCGTGAAATGCAATTTTCTTTTCACCCGCGGCAATTTTTGTCGACGTCAGCGTCGCCGTCGGTGGAAATCGGATAAACGACGCCACAGGTAGTCCGACATTCAAAGACCCGACTCTCGACGTCGTTGTCGCGTTTGGTCCCGGGCGAAAGTCACGAAGACGCGCAAAAGTGACTTGTCGTCCTTTTCACTCACCGTCCCTGGACTCCTTTTGGCCGTGAAAGTCGCCGGTGTGATGGTCCTCGACGCCGTAAGAAAACTCGTATTTTGGATTCGCCACGTAGTCGACCGTGTAACCGTCGTGATGTCTGTGCTCACCGTGGTCTTGGCCGTGCAAATAATTGTGCTCACCGAAATGATCCACCACCACGTGCGGCACTTTCACCTCGTACTCCGGGCCCTGCACCGGTCCGTGGAAGTGCATGTACGAGCTGGCGACCGAGGAGTGATGATCGTGGAGAACGCCACTGTCCAACGGTATCACGCCGGCGATTGATCGATTGACCAGGGCGAGACCGATGGTTAGCGCGACGGTGACCTGTGACACAAGAAGTTTAACGTCGACACTACCGATGTTATCTGAACATTCGTCTCTGGCACGTTTATCGATTCGATATAGTTACCTTATCGATCATGAAAGCAAATAGCGCATGTTGCAATAAATTCTCAAGTTAATTTACGCCGGACGAATTTATCGGGACTCACAAAATTCGCTAGATTTTATTTTCATCTGCTTTGCTAACGGAATGTGATATTTTTAGTCAAAATTCGATAGAGCGAAATTGTTTTAGGTTAAAAAAAATTGTCCAAGCAAAGGTAGAGAGAGATTTTTAAAACAATTTTACCTGTCTAGTTAAATACTTTTCCGCGCTTGTTATGTTTGTGTGTGTGTGTGTTGTATATGTATATATAACACACATATATATATATGTATATAAAATACATATATAAAAGATCACTACATAAATTGGAATATTTCAAAGTAGTAGAATGGATGAACCGAAATTGGAGCGAAACATACACGTGATCTACGCGATTGATGTTGCCTGTGTATACAAACTCACTCGATGCCATGATGAAACCCTAGAAATTTACGATATATACCGGTACCGAGCAATTGAATGAAGTGACGGACGGTTCGTCGACCTCTCGTTTTTAATTACGAAGGTCCCAAGAGGGAGAGATAGAGAGAGAGAGAGAGAGGAGAGAGAAAGAGAGAGAAAGAGAGAGAAAACCCGTCAACGTTCAAACCAACACGAACATTTCCGATGGAAGTGGCTCGATTGAAAGTGCGGGATAGACGCGTTTTAACGGGGACGTTTCTTCATTCTCTCGCTTGTAAGCTTCATCAACTTCCGCGTCTTCGTTACAATCAACGGTGTTTTCTGCTTGAGTCTCTGAATTCTTTTATTTGTATTAGCAAAGAAGTTTTACTATTTTATCAAGCGCAAAAAACTGCAAGTGTTCGTTAAACCAGCGGGATAATTGCAAATTATTGAAAATATACACAAAATAGATAGATTTAAATTTAAACTAACGCCACACACATACTCTTAGGATAAGAGTAAATGTACACACGTAGTAAGTAGAAGAATAAATAAATCTACTGAGTTTTTTAAAGATACTGCAATAAAATATTGGATCAAGTAAGCTTTGCGGTTTTGTTATCACTTTATTTTACGAAAAGAGAGAGAGAAAAAGAAAAAGCCTTATATAAATATAAGAACCGAGTAACTAAAAGAGATTTAACACGTAACAAACACAAAAAAAAAAAAAAACAGAACAAATGATCGTTCAATTTAATTAAGAAAGTATTTGCCGTAAGTCAGTGCGCACTTCTTAATTTTGCACCGCGTCGGAATTAAATCCCACTGGTATTATTTTTGTCCGCTTTACTTTTGAATATTACATTCCGCGCTGAAAAACGGCAACATTATCGTTTGTAAAAACATTCGCGACGATCCAGGTGAACCGGCTAATTACATTAAGAGGGACCTTAAGAATGTTAAGGAACACTTTTAATTCCGTCTTATATTCACAACATTGCTTAGGTTCTTGACAAACCGCGCGTGAAGCTACTTTTCCCCGCTTTCGCGCCCTTCTATCTCGAATTATTTATTTCCCTCGGTGCGCGCACATCTCGTCGTGCCAATTATACGTTTCTTAATTACCGGCAATTAAGAATACGTCGCCCTACGCCGTTATTTTCCGTCGTAAACCCTTCGCATTTCACTTCTCGCGTCCCCGTTCTCTCTTTCTTCTCTCTCTCTCTCTTTTTCCTCCCGTTCCGAACGTGTCGCAAAGTTTCGAGTTTAACGAGCACTTTCTCCGAGTCGCGCGTCACTTTTCCTTCCTTCGCGAGTTTCGACACTCTACCTTGATAGTCATCTTCACCATTACGATATTTCAGGCGGTCAGGTGAGAACTGCAACTTACCGGCTGTTTTCTAGGCTTTTATACCGGATCGCTCTTCATACACGAGACAACCCATACACGTGCGTGTATCCGCGCCCGGTTCCGGTACCGGTGCACATGTAAACGATGTGTGTATAATGAAGATGCACTTCCGAGACAGTAAAATAAATGTTGCAACAAATCGCGTTCAACAACACGTATGTCAAATTGAAAATAGTGTTTTGAACTAAATAATAATAAAATATTATCTAATATATACCCCGATACTAGAATTCAGCGCGTTGTTTATAACACACAAAAAACACATAAAACATATAACAAAAATTTAGAAATGTTTACGCAAACACGTTATATAATATAAAAATAACGTAAAATAAGAATACAAAAACATTTGCTTTTAATTCTGTTAAAATTGCAATTTTTGTCAATTTAGAAAAAACAACTCACGTGTTTTACAAAAATATTTGTTAAGAAAGTTTTGCGTAAAACGAGATCTTTAAAATATCTCTGTACATTACATGTTTTCAAACGTGGTTTTTTATATTAAATAAATTTTGTTTTTGTTTTTTTTAAACGCAAATATTTTAATATTCATACATATATAACATCAAGAATTATACAGACAATCCTCTCTACAATGTGTGCTCCACTTCGGAAGAGTCGGCACGACTTCCAAATGGCGTCTCACAATGACTTGCAATGTCATAAAAGCGATTACGTATTAATAGACGGCGCATCAACCATGCATCACGCATTGAAAAGTGATGCACGAGATCGCATAAGATCGCTTTCTTCCTTTTAGGAGGCGAATGGCGATCGCTTCCTTCTTCCCGTATGACACACAGTATACGCATACTGTAACCGCTAGGTTTTTCCCTGTTGCGTTAAAATCCCAACTTTAATCTTCACGCTGAAAATTAAGGTTTCATAAACGCAATGTTTTGCTAAAATTCACAAATCTCTCTCTCTCTCTCTCTCTTTCTCTCATAACGCGTGGAATAATTAAAACACAAAGTAAGTAGATTATGTATTAAATCATATATTAAATTGCGTAACTAAATATATGCTTACCTGCGAATAACCATCACTGTTGTAATTGCATCTACATAAAGCTGTTATTATTTAGAGCGTAATGCATTAATTAGATTTTTATTTATTTCTGAAATTAGGTATAATATTGCACGTATGAAACGCGTCCCCGATGTTGAAATCGACCATTTTCGAGGGCAAGTTGTGCGTGATACTCGTATTAATTTATATTAACTTTGTTATCAAATTCGATATCGTATTGCTGTTGAAAACGGAAATTAAGCTACAGATCGCGCGCTGCGTGCGCGTGATTTTATAACAACAATTTTGATTTTGTATATACTCTCCAAGAGACCGACAATATCTGACGTTAAAAAAAGGCAAGCTGACACAAAATTCTTTTTTCTCTCTTTTTTTTTCCTCTCACGCGTTTTCGCTTTCTCGTTTAAAAACGCGCTGCGAGAAAGAGATACGGCTTTCACGAAAGAGAACCAACCGGAAGTTGGTTGGCGCTCGAATGAAAACGTCTCTCTGCCTTCTTTGTCGCGGCGATAAGAAATATCGACTCGATATTATTCGTGGAAATTCTTTTCATTTTATTTTATTTTATTTTAGTTTATTTTATTTTACTTTTTTTTTTTTTTTATTGCGCGTTGCACAAAACACGATGTAAAATCGGTTTCAACTGCATGGATTTTTTCTTCGAGTCTCTGCAACGATTTCGACTAATATTCACTAATGTTCGCTGATGATCATCACAGTTCTCGTTTAAGTGGATTATACGAAATCGAATGTGTTACACGCGAAAAAGATCTATACGCGATATCTGTTTGTTTGTAATAACAAACGGTGGTGCAAATAATATGGCAAATTCCATGCAACAGCGGTAACGTAAATGCGTCATGCGATTAACAAGCTATCATTTGTATGGTATATCGCGAAATAATAATGTAAGTATCATTTATGGTATATTATTATCGCAAATGTCCATTACCCGCAACATATAATTTGACCGGCGGGATTTATTGCGGTATCGAATAAGGTACGAGAGACGTTAACGATCGGTCTCTCGCCATATTTCATAACCGGATTAATGGACTGCGCTATGATAATGAACGTAAAGGGAAATATAGCATCTACTACGGCACATTACTCCGCGCATCGCGCCGCTAATTGAATTTTCTTTGTAAAGAAATTCTGTGAATATATGTATGAAGGTCCACTATTAGCTAACGGAAAACAAAACTCTTTGTAAACAATATAAGCTGACGACGTTTTGACGACGACGAGGACGACGACTACGACTACGACTACGGCGACTTCGACGACGCGACACTCTCATCGCGAGTCGCGGTTTCTTCGCTAAATATAAATACATTCAATTACGAGCGCGGACAATATACATGAGCAAATAATGGTATTTCTGTGTCAAACGTTTCAACGTGTGCGTCGCGTCCGTGTCCGCTCGGTCTCTCGGTACGCGTTTCTCTCTCGGTTGCTATTCTTGTTTCTCGAAACAAAGGCGAATCGCTACGGTAAGTCGAACGCGATATTCCGTTTACTACACATAACGATAATCAACTAACCCCTCTCGACCTCCGAGAACAACGATGTATAATATAATTGGCGTCGAGAAGTGTCTCGGATCGCCGCTACAAAGGACGGTAATTGGAGCAATTTTGTGGTTTCACAAATAAGCTCTACCACACAGTTAGTGAATAAATGAATTAATGAAAATTCTATTATATACGCTCCGGGTTAAAATGACGTAAAAGCATTTTAAGCTGCGGGAAGATTGTACGTAATAAATGCGCGCGAATATATATATATATATATATATATATATACATATATACATATACATACTTATATCTCGCGGTGTATAATAGAAATGCAATATCTTAATACCTTTCTTTTGTAAGTTAAATTTATGAATAGTTATGAACGGATGGAAATTTAATTCGACAAGAGTCGAGTGCGCGACAACGCATTTGCGTTAGATTTTTGCGCGACAACGGAGTTCCTCGACGAATGAATAAACACGCGATAAAAGTAATAAAGTGTATTGACGTCTGAACTCATCAACATGGGAACAAAGCGACTGACAGGCTGCACAATAAAGTTTTGACGCTGTCTGGTTGACAGCGCCACAATCGAGTAAACTGGCATAAATAATTTAGCACACACTCGACGCGCGCAATGCGCGATTCCGCGCATCGTTTCGGAATAACATTTGTAAACGAACGTCGCGTCGCTGACTGTATTATGCTTTCGTTTCGCACGTGATATGCGTCAGAAGGTGAACTGCAACTCGATTAAACTAATTGGTTTTTCGCAGATATCCATCCCAAATATTGAGAGATATACACTTCGCCCATTTGTGAACAATCAGTTTAATGGAATATCTAATTGTTGTAATGCGAAAGCTTGAGTTTCCGATCGTACGGAAAGCTTTTGCGAGAATTTTTGTGAATCGTGAGGATTATTTTACATTGTTTTTTTTTTCGCACATAAAATCCCGAGAAGAAACAACGAAAGATATTTTGTAGTTTGTATGCGCGGTTTGTATGCTGCTGCTTTTTTTTTTTTGGTTTCTAAAAAAACGTCATTGACCTCGCTCTCGTGTCATATGCTTTTTCTTCTCGTCGTGTCAGTTAAAGATCAATTATAATCCAATTGTAGCCGCGTATATAATTTTGATCGTGATAACTTTCTTTGTACATTTCGCGTGCCACTTTCACAACCTTCCCATTAAATTGGCATTATACCGCACGAAGCCTTCCACGCGTCGAAATTTCACGAACCGGTTTCGCGAACGTACGTACGTACGAAAAGATCGGCCGCGTATGTACCGCGCGCGGTCCGAGATATAAAAGCGCCCGCGTTATGTGTGCGCGCAAGTCTCGTATCCCGGTCTCGTAAATCAAGAAGCTCGATCCCGCGCTACGGTATGATTCCGGCGCGATAAAGGGCTTCCGAGCTGAGAGAGAAAGAGAGAGAGAGAGAGAGAGAAGACCCCCGGTGTCGCACAGAGAAACCCGTATCCGGAGAAACCTGAACCCCCTTTCCTTTCACATTCGCGCGCGGATTCGTTTAATCGCGAAACGCCCGGTCGCAGAGTTCCGACGACTCGGTGAGCGTCAGAATTTGACCTACATCGGGAGCGCATCTACTGCAATTTGCGCTTGACGTGGTCGCCGAGGCTTCCGGAATCGCGTCTACTCCGTCGCTGACAGCGTGGAGGAAAGGTGCTCGGTTGACACGACTCTCCTACTCTCGTCGTGTTATCCCGCTTGCCAGTATTTCCGAGTATTCCAGACATGAACATCGACGTTAAGATATGTCTTGTAGCGCAATGCACCTGCTACACACAACACGCAGCGCAGATGTCCGCGCTAATGCGAAATGAAGAGATATATTAGATTGCTCTTGAATATATTACTTATTATTTAGCAAAAAAAACCACAAAGTTTTACACGGAATGAAGGTTTGTCAGAACAGCAAGATCAGCTTTTGTTATACAGCAAGAAAACTTTTGCTTTAAACCTATTGAGATTTTTTTGCCAACAAAACGTTTTGTTGATGAAACAAAAACAATTCGGTAGATTCAATAAATTTTTCTTGCCGATCACTTAATAGCACAATTTTTTGTTCTTGTGAAACCAATAACAGCTGAAAAATATGACACTGGAAAAGACAATTAAATGTGTTACTTGCAATTTTTTTGTGTGGGACGAACGGATAAATAAAAAAGCTTAAGAATGCGTTTGTCGCGGATTTATTGAAATGAAGCGAACACGGAGAAGGAGCGAAAGCTCCGGGAACAAAACTAGGGGACGGGAGCAACCACGACGTTGTTGGTGATGACAAGCACGTAAAAACGTATTTACGCGGATTACGCGAACTCCGACCGCGCGACTGTGAGTTTTTACTCGGTAGAAAAGTGCCCGGCGGTGGACGAGAGATCAGAGTCGTCGCCTCGCACA